ACTTCGAACAAGCTTGGCAAAGCACAGGGACCGCAGTTCAATCCCCCAGCACCACATGCCAGCCAGCCCCTCCCCCTTGTGGGCTGAGCTGGCCACACACACACACACACACACACACACACACACACACAATAAATAAATGTAAAAATAAATAAATAAATAAATGATTTAAAAAAAAAAAACATTTGAGGTCAGGCTAGACTACATGGCCAGATCCTATTTCAAAAAATAAATATTGGGGGTGGTGAGATGGTTCAGTGGAGTAAGCGCTTTCCTGGCAAGTACAAGGGCCTGAGTTCAATCCCTGGTTCCGCCAAAAAATTAAAAATAAATAAATAAAAAGGGACCATATGATCCCTTCATCAGGAGTGTGCCCCTCCAGCCACTCAAGCTGGGATCCTTTCTTGCTTTTTATTACTCTCCTTTGCTAAGGGCCAGCCTGTCTTTGTTAGGTCTTCAAATCAACCAACTCTTTTCTTTTTCTTTTCTCTCTCTCTCTCTCTCTCTCTCTCTCTCTTGGTTTTGAGGCAGGGTCTCAACATGTAGTTCAGGTTGGTCTTGAACTCACTATGTAGTCCAGGCTGACCACAAAGTCATGGCAACCCTCCCACCTCAGCCTCCAGAGTACTGGAATCATAGGCATGTACCACCACGACCAGCTTTTCTTACTTTTTAGTTAAGTTTTCCCCCCCGTAAATCCATGCTTCAAATTTTGTGCAAAGCGTGTTTTTGTTTTTCGTTGAGTTTTCTGGTGTTTGTTTTGTTTTGTAGTAGGGACTGAACCCAGGGCCTGGGTTTTAATTTTCTGTGCCTGGTACTAACCAAATCATTAAACTGCCCAGGCTGCCCCAGCTTCCTGTTCCAACATCCCAGAGTGCTGGGATTAGGCAGCTAACTTAGAAAGAAATTAATGTACAGTCAGAGAGGGACTGTAATCCTTTCCTGCTTTTTATTACCCTCCTTTGCCAAGGGGTAAGCCTGGTCTTTGTCAGGTCTTCAAGCTAACCAACTCTTCTCTTTCTTTCTGTTTTGGTTTTGAGGCAATGGAAAATAAAGACATCAGAATTGCAGCTGGAGGTACATTTGAAGAAGGCCAGGCCTCAAGACTAAGAACCAATGACCGGGCCTGCAGGCCTCCCTAAGAGATAAATGGTATTTAAGATTATATTGTAAGTAGTACCACTGGGTCCAGGAAGTCTAGGAAGGCATCAGTCACCGGGTGAGTGACCACAGCATCTGGAATCATTCCTTCCCCACAAGGCCTTTGTTCTCTCTCCATGTACTCTTTTTTTTTTTATCAAGAAGTTTTATTTGTAGGCTTTTAAAAAGAATGGGTTTTAGAACACTA